GTCTGAACCTCTGCTGTCTTGAACCTTCCTCTGACAAACAAATCAGTGTACCACTTCAATCTAACTTTAGCCCACTTTTCAGGACCCAGGCAGAGTGTAGACAAATTCTCTGTCAAGCAAGGCCAAGGTGGCCTCTAGTGCACTTCCCAGGGAAGTGGCTGTCAAGGGTTTCTGGAAGCATTCTGGTCTGTTGTGTTTCCACCAGTTTGTACACTAAGTGGCACTCAGGACATCCCAGAGCTTCCCTTAGCCCACATCTTCAAACTGAGCCACACCCCTTCCTTAGGCCAGTTCCAAAGGTCTGAGGAGCACATGGTCACTTTATTACAGCAACCCAGTCTGCACACAGTACCAGTTTTTGTGTTATTCGTTTTTGTATTGTTGTGACTAAAATACCAAACAAACAATCTAAGAGGGGAAGTGTTTATTGTGGCTCAACAGTTCAGTTGTTCCTACCCAGAGACAGGAGGATCTCTGTGAGTTCCAAGAAACCTACAATAGTGAGACACTGTCTCAAAACCAAACAAACCAAACTTTTCCAACCTCTCATATGACCCTATCAGCTGGAGTCTGAGCCTGTGAAGAACATTTCAGACTCAAATAGTACCAGGCAGCAGGAATGTTGGCTTCAGCATATGCTCTCTACCTGCTGTGTCAGAATAGGAATGCCAGGGTATGCTCTCATCCCAAGACCTGCCAGTGTGCACAGAGACAGACAGGAGGAAATGAGAGGGCAGACCATGCAGCAGGGCAGAGCCACAGAGAAACAAAGATCTACATGTGACCTCAGAGACAATGGGCCTGCCTTTCACTGTATGGATAGGGAAGCAGGCCTCAAGAAGGCTGGCATGAATGCCAGCCAGCATGGCATCTGTTAGCAAATTAGAAATTGGCTCCTCCCACCCAAAGCTCAAAACAAGAAACAAAACAGTCACACATTGTGTATAGCAGGTGTCTGTTCAGGATGGATGATGATACATGTTGCAACAACTGCTAGCACATTCTCTCTAGGCAAAGTCTCCGCTTAGCAAAGTTTAAGAACCTAGGATCTATTGCTGGCAACGTTCTACTCTGTGTCCTTACCTAACAACTAGGCTCCGAGTCTAATGCAGTCTGCAGCCTATCTTTCAGTGTTTGACTAAGGTCTGACCTCCTCCATGTAGCTCTGTCACTGGACTGTCTCAACACCAGCTTCCAAAGGAATGACACAGAGACTTTTTATTACTATGAAAGCTTAACCTTAGCTTAGGCTTGTTCCAGCTCATGTGACTTAAACTAATTTATACTAATTTATGTTCTGCATGTGGCTCATTACCTCTCCTCAGCGCCTGCACCCATTTCTTCCTTCTATCTGGCTGGCAAAGCTCCTTCACCTGATTCTTTCCCTGAGTTCCTGTCTGCCTGGAAGTTCAGCTATCCTCTCCTACTTTGCTATAAGCAGTCAGCTCTTTTTGAAAGTGATAGAGAAGAATGTTTACAAAACACTGAGACAAGTGATGCTTCATAAAAATAACAATACCAAGGTCCGGCCTGTACACAACACTCAACCGGTACAGAAATCAGCATCTGAATAAACAAAGACAAGCTTTACAAAGTGCACTAAAAATTATCCCAACGTGTCTCCCTTTTAGTCCAGTGACAGGCTCTTTCTCTAACATCAATAGACCATATATAATAAGAACAACTATGAAAACTATCAGGGAAGAATTAGACTCAGTGTCCAGTCCATTTGTATTTGGCAAACACAGGGAAAGCATTCCTTTATCTCTCCTATCTTGGTGACAGTTTATAACAGTAGCTTTCAAAAGGCTAGAATGTCACATTACATTTCTAAACGAGTTGCATAGGAACAATGACTAAAACAATAGTTGAGACACACACATATAAGGTTGTAAGAAAAATCATCTTAAGTTTGTATCAATATACAAAATCCATACCAACGTAAAATATTTGAGACTCTAATCCGCTATCTAGTCTAAAAGATGATTCACCCCTTTCATCCAGATACTTCTCTCCCCCTTTTCCTTTTATCCCTTTTCACTCCCTACCATTAGATATGAGAATAAAGGAGAAAGAGAAAGAAGACAATCCCTGAATCTAACCTCCTTTACCATGACCAAAACCAGCTTGTAACCAACCTCTCTAAACAACAACAAACATCCATAACCCACCAAATGATCGAAAAACACCCACTCCACCTCTTGGGAATGAGGGTGCCATGTTCTTAAAATTGCCTCATGCTGGCCAGGAACAATAGCATCTTTTGGGGACCCTAAGAAAATTGGGATATTAGACAAGTCCTAGGGGAACTAGTTGTATCATTTGTTAACTTGTGTGATGGTTTGAATATGCTTGGCCCAGGGAGTGGCAGTATTAAGAGATGTGGCCTTGTTAGAGTAATACATATGCACTGTGTCACTGTGGGGGTGGGCTTTGAGACCCTTCTAGCTGCACAGAAGCTAGTCTTCTGTTCGCCTTTGGAACAAGATGTAGAACTCTCAGCTTCTCCAGCCCCATGCTTGCCTGGATACTGCCATGCCTCCTGCTTTGATAATGGACTGAACCTCTGACCTGTAAGCCAGCTCCAGTTAAATGTTCTTCTAAGAATTGCCTTGGTCATGGTATTTCTTCACAGCTATGGAAACCCTAACTAAGACAGCTAGTTTCTGTGGGATGGGAAAGTGCAGGGCTTAACTGAAGTCCTGGATGAAACACTGTATGAGGCTGGACTATCTTAGCTAGCCATTTTGAATTTGCTGTGGATATAGATTTTTGAGGAAACAGCAGCTAAGGCAGTCTGAGGCTGGATCACCTGGGCTGCTTGTCTTGTCTTCATTGGCATCTGTTCATTTTGCTCTAAAAACACACAAACGTTTGAAGGTATTATACATTTCTGCAGTAATACATATACAGTGTGCACAAATCAGTTAAGATGATTCTTTGCTTTTCGCTTGAGCAGGTACAAGGCATCAAGCTTGTTTTCTTTCTTCCTTCCTTCCTTTCTTTCTTTCTTTCTTTCTTTCTTTCTTTCTTTCTTTCTTTCTTTCGAGACAAGGTTTCTCTGTGTAATTCTGCCTGTCCTGGAACTCACTGTGTAGACCAGGGTGGCCTCAAACTCAGAAATCTGCCTGCCTCTGCCTCCCAAGTGCTGGGATTAAAGGCGTGCACCACCACCACCAGGCTGGCATCAAGCTTTCTAAGTCTGTGTGGATTGTGTAACCCAGTTGTCATATAAATCTCCATCCATTCCATATGGAAGGACTCTGAAACTCTGTAGCCAACAAGATTGATTGACTATGTCTATACATTCACGTCTCAGCAGGTTTCAGAGCTGTCCCCATGGAGAGATACAGGTCTGTTTTGCTCCTTTTCTTGGGAAATCTTTTCTCAATATTCCACCATTTTTCTTTAGATGTTCCTCTTGTCCAGTGGTGTCTGGATTCCACAGGTGGATGTTTTTCTTCTCTTGGGAAAATAAGAGCAAAACCTACCAAGATCCTAACTCTGGGTCCTTTCAGTGACTAGCAGGATATATCTTTCCTAGGGCAAAATACTTTTTGGCAACAGAAAAAAAGCATTATCTTTGAAATTGAAATTATTATTTTTAAAGTTTGAAAATAAATATACCTTAGTATGAGGATAAATATACTTATATCCCCATTTCTCTTTCTATAAATTTAAGATTAAGGGGCTGGAGAGAAGGCTCAGCGATTAAGAGCACTGACTGCTCTTCCAGAGGTCCTGTCAGTGCAAAATGGGGTGGAGATCATTCAGTGAGGGAAGGATACAGCACGTACATCTTATTAGTCGGCTGGCGCACACACCACTGGTACCCAAATCCAAAAAAGCACTCTGCTGCTCATTGTTGTCCTCCCTGCCTTTCTTCTTTCACTTAAGCTACTGGTAGTCGTTCCGTACTGGAGTACATGGTACACTTCGTTTTAATGACTGAACAATTTCCCAACCTAAGGATTGCTATAGTTAGCCTGGGAATCATGAAGACCCGGGAGGATCAACACCGATACAGAGCTAGCGGCTGAAGACCTGGAGATGTGGTTCTGAAGATGTGTTTTTACCCTCAGCTCAGCTCAGAATTCGCTGCTAATGTTAGGCTGGAGGTTTCGGGATAAAGAATCCCCCTCATACACTCAGCCAACCCTTTCTCTTCAGCCAGAAGCCAGCGCTTGCAGAAGCCGGGGAACTCCACAAAGAGATTCCCGCCAGAAACCTGCGCTTACAAAAGCCGGTGCAAAACAATGGATAAAGCGGATACTTAGTTCCAAAGTGACCACTGGACTCAGAACACACAGCCTGACTCCCAAACTTAGGCAAAACTCCAATACCTTATCAAGTACGACACTGCCCGCTCCCCTCTGCTACAAAAAGCTCCTAACCTAGTCTAGTCAGGAAACTTCAAAGACCTCCTGGTGTGAGACAGTAAACTCGCCAGGGAGCAACTAATCCCCAAATAAACCTTTTAAATCAGTTCAACTGTATTTATTGCAGCGGTGGCGGCGAAGCTATTCAGTTAACTCGGAATTATGCGGCTTCTCAGAGACAACCATCGCAAGCCGGACGTATCGGAGCGCTCGTCGGTTATCAGCAAGGCAGTTACTTTTGCGGGCACCTGCATCTTTTGGGCAGGTAGTCAGCTAACGAGCAGCACTAAAGGTATGAGGACGCTGGCCCAATGGCGATCGAAACCCGAGCAAAGGAGGTGAACGGATACTTGCGTCGGCTTGAGTCACTTGGCCGCTCTTGCTGGAGTAACGCATCCCTTAGGGTGCAGGGATCCCTGTCCCTTTAAAGGGGCTGAACTCTGCTCCGTTACTTCCGCCCCGAAGTGTCTTGGCGCAGGCGCGTGGGAGGAAGTAGGGTGAAGCGGCCCTCAGCTTTCCTCTTAACAGATGTGGCGACGGCTGGGATGCCGCGGTTGCGCCCGGTCGTGACGTCACTTCCGGGGCGGGGAGGCAGAGTGGTGCAGTGAGGGACAAACAAAAGGAGGCGCCGGAGGAGCGCGGTGGCCGGCGGCCGGACTGGGTGGTGGAGGGCCAGGGCTGCTTGCCGGGCGGCTGCGAGCGGCGAGCCCAGGTGAGTGGGTCGGGTGGGGGTTGAGACGCGCGCTGTCACCTCACGGAACCCACTCGGACGCGCGCTCCGCCCCTTCAAGTTCGGGAGGCTCTTGCTGCCCGAGGGCGCCGGCCACCCCGGCCCTGCGCTCGCCTCCGCTCCGCCCTGCCTCCCGCGGGCGCCGGCTCGGACTCCACCCTCCAGGCCGTGCAGCGGCGCGCGAGCCCCCTCCCGGGCACCCTGTTTTCCGCGCGCGCCTCTCACCCGAGTTTCCGTCGCACTCCTCAGGCCGCGCTGGTCCCGCAGATCCGCGCCCCTCTGCGCACGCGCCCCCTTCCCAGAGGTTCCACCCGGGGGTTCTCTTGACAGCTACCCCAGCAGCTTTCAGTTTTTGGCCCTGGGCTTCCCGATGCCGGCTTCTTTCCTTGGACCACTCCCTCTTCTTGATCTCCCGGACTGTCCCCTGCTATGGGGACGGGAGCACAGACCTTTGAGACCCTGCTCAGACCGGGTCCCCGAAAGAGTGGCTCCTGATATGAAAGTCCGTTTGGATCTGTCCCTGTTTTGTGCATCTCTTGGGCAGGAGTAACAGATGTAGGATGTTGTTGGTGAGCTGGAGGTCAGCAAAGATGATCCCAAGCTGAAGAAACAGCCGGGGATGACGGAGGCAGGGGTAGGAGTTTGGTTTTTGAGACAGGGTCTCAACTATGTAGTCTTGACTCCCCTCGAACTCTCTATGTAAAGCAGGATGGCTAGCTTCGAGCTCTGTCTGTTTCCTGAGTGCTAGGTAAAGACGTGGGCCTCTAACCTCTGTTTGAGACCTGGGTTCATGAGCCTTCCTTGGTAAGGATTCCTTTCCTTCCTCTGGACTGGAGTGAATCGAGATGGGCTGGTTCTGCTTGATGCAGTCGCTGTCTTTTTTGGGAAGGACACATTTAGTTTGCGGTAGCCTTCTCCTGATGGGAACTCGGCTGGCATAGTGATAGTTGTAGGACAGCACACTTGTACTGCCTCCTCATCCCCTGCTCCAGCTAGGACAGCTTTATGGATGAGGTGTGGAGGGGAGAGAGTGTGTGTGAGGACAGGGGATGTTTGTGTGTTGAATATTGGAGACAGAAATGAGTAGCCAGAGGCCACAAGGTCTTTTCCTACCTTGCAAGTGTGTCAGTGGTCCCTTTAACTCTGCCATCCCTCTGGAACCGACACACTGGCCGACAGACAGTGCAGGAACAATAAGTTGACCATTGAGGGTAGGAGAGTGGGGGTGTATTCAGAGGTCCAGGGGTGGTGCCTGAGGACTAGGCCATCATACACTGTTTCCTTGAAGGTCAGGCTCTCCTCCAGGTGTCCTGGACAGGCAAGGACAGGTTAGCAGTGCTGGAGGACAACTTCCTGGAGCCTTCCTGGGGTCTGAAGCGCCACTTGTTTTGGGGATGGTTTACAAAGCAGGGACCAGAGAAGCATCTGACAACACCTCCCACCCCCAGGAGGCAACCTCTCACACTTGTTCTCCATACCATAGCACATCTGCTTGGATGGAGTTTCCTTGCAAATTTGAGTGGCCTTTGTGGAAGGCATGGGCTTCTGAGGGTCATCCTAATGGGGCAGAGCCCCCACCTTGCTGCCTAGAAGACTTAAAACCAGCCTGTTCCCAGCTCACTGTCCTGAGACTGTAGATGGGTCCAGGTTTTTACACAGAAACATTGAAGCACAGGCTGACCAGCAAACACCTCCTGATAACTCGGGAGGACTAAATGCAGACATTAAATAAATATAGACTACAGTGGTCCTGAAGCAGCCCAGAGGAGAGAGGAGGGAGTCTTGGGTTATTGAGCAGGCTATCCAGGGTACATGTCCTTCAAGAAGGGACTAGAAGAGTCAGTGAGTCCGGAGTCCTACTTCAGCCATGGCTGTGAAGTGGGCAAGTGACTGTCCAGCACCAGCGGTGTTCCAGTCCTGTGTGAGACAGAGGGTGGGGCAGAGGTGGACTGGGTGGCCTCTGCACCTTCTCGACTCCAGGTGCCTTGTTGCATGGTCACATACAGCCTGCCTGTCTTGTCTTCCTGCGGCTGAGGGACTGAGTTTGACTTCCATCCTTTACCAGAACCTAGGTCTCAATAAGTGTGACAGCTGTTTCCCAGCCCCTCCTAGACATCCTGAATCCCAGGTCCTGGTGTCTGCTGTTTCCTTCCTGATAACTACTGCTATAATGCTCTAACTCCCTCATGGCTGGGCCACACTCCCATCTCAGGCTACTGTTGCTGTCTTCCCAGTCTGGAGTGGTGTCCACACTTCTCTCTATCTTTGGTAAGATGCAGAGCACAGTGCCCATCGGTAGGTAGTTGAGTGCTTGCTCACTGTGGAGAGTGTGTCCTTATGTTTCAGTGACAGTCCTCTTCTGGCCTGGCTCAGCCTTTGTCATTCCTCTCTCGCCATTTCCCACCTCCAGGACTAGCTGTGACCAAAGAGTAGCTTGCAGCATTTTGTTCTCCTCTTCTCCCCGCCAGTGCTGTGCCTCCTGCCAGGATCCTTCTCTTCACACCCAGGGCTCACCAGATACCTGTTCTCCTAAGAAACTGTACTAACCCTTTGGTCTGGCTCTAGGGCTGAGCCTGAGTCCCTAGCCAAACCTTGCCTCCAGATTGAAAAGGCTGCCTTGGGGACTCTTTGGAGAACCAGGATCTGTGGGGCAGACCCCTTTTGGTAGCTCCTGTTGCTCTAGAGCCCCATGTAGGCTCTGTCACTTATTTCCAGGTGCTCTAAAAAACCCTCTGTGAACAATATAAGTATCTTTGAGAGCCACAAACGTGCCTGTTGACTGTAGCTCACCCTTTCTCATAGGGCAGCAGCAGCGTCCATGGAGCAAAAGGAATGTCAGGACCCTGTGCATCCAGACAGGGACCAGCTTCAGCACCAACAGCCAACACAAAGATAGCAGAGCCATCTCAGGGTAAGGCTCTTTCCAGACTTTCTGTACTGCCTCTCCCAGGAATGAGCACACCTCCATTTTCATAGTCCTTTGACCTGTGTAGGATCCAGGGCATCTGAGTGGTGCCTGCTCCCTCTGCTTTGATGTTTTGGGTTCTATTTCAGTAATGAAGGTTGAGCCCAGGGCCTCACATGTGTTAGACAAGCGTTCTACCTTTAAGTTATTTCTCAAAACACTGTGTATCTGAGATTGGCCTTGAACTCCTGATCTTCCTGCTTCAATCTCCCAGTCCTAGGATTATAGGCACACAACATCATTCTGGGGTAATGCTGAGGCCTCTTGCAATTCCTTCAGGAAAAGCTGAGACAAAGAAGGAGGTTGGGGGACTGAGGCAAGAACAGAGGACCAGACCCAGACAGTTACAGGAGCTGAGTTCAATCCACAGCTTCAGCTTTCTTGGTGGGATTTTATAGCAGTACATGGGTCAGCTTGTACATGGGTCAGCACTGGACAGAGACCACTGCGCAGGCTTTGGCAAATGATCCTGCTGCGGTCCTTTAACAGTGTGCTCTGCAGACTGCACAGCATTGTCAGCACAGGCCAGCTCTCGGCGAAGAATACTTTCTGAGACACTTTGCTTAGTGCCTTCTCCACACCAGTTCTCAGAAAGGTGCTAAAGAGAGGGCTGTGCGACTCTTAGCACCACCTGTCCCTCCCTGCAGATCTCCTTGTGTGGATAGCTACAAGTGCTGCTACCTGTGACACATTTCCCAAGAGGTGCTCCTTTGGTCACTGAAGTTAGAAAACTGTGTGGCTGTTGTGGGACTCGTCAGAGCCTTGAGGACATTTTCCCAAGCATGACGAGTGAGAGCAGCCCTCACACTTACATGGCCACATATGGATCTCTCGGAAATATCTTCCTATACTTGGTATAGTTTTCCTTTGCTTTGCTTTTTGAGGCAAGGTCTCTTGTAGCTGGGGTGGTGACTATTCCTTTCAACATCTGTGTAGCCCAGGCTGGCTACTCCTGGGCTAGCCTCAAAAAACAACAACAACTACTACTACTTATCTTCCTCCTCTTCCTTCTCTAGTTTTTTTTTTTTTAATTATTTATTTATCTTTATTTTATGTACATTGTTGATTTGACTGCATGTATGTCTGTGTGACGATGTCAGATCCCCTAGAACAGGAGTTACAGACAGACAGTTGTGAACTGCCGTGTGAGTGCTGAGTATTGAACCCCAGGACCTCTGGAAATGCAGACAGTGCTCTTAACTGTCAAGCCATCTCTCCAGTTCCCTCTTCTCTAGTTTTATTTCATTATGTGTATGAATGATGAATGTTTTGCCTGCATGTATGTCTGTACACCACGGTGTGCCTGGTATCCTTGAAAGTCAGAAGATAGCTTCAGATTCCCTTGAACTGGAGTTGGAGACAATTGTGAGCTGCCATGTGTGTGTTGAGAATTGAACCTGGGTCTTTTCCAAGAGCAATAAGTGTTTCTAACTCCTGAGCCATCTTTCCAGCCCTGGTTTCAAACTCTTTGGATCCTTTTACCTCAGCCTCTAGAGGGCTGGATATACAGATGTGCTCCTTCATATTGCTTAGATTCTAACATCAGAGAAGGGAAAATCCTGACCCCATCTTCAGAGACTGGATAAATAGGAGGCAGACAGACAGACAGATACAAACACACACACACATGCATACACACCCCTCTATTCTCTGATGCCTACTTTATAAAAGTCAGGTCACTTGGGGCTACCTGCTTGTTAGCTCTCCTGTTTCTTGGAAGGGCAGCCAGTATCTAGAGCTCTTTCCCGGGACAGACTCAGACAGGCTGCTGAGACTGGCAGACAGAAGGCACATTTCTGCTGCAGAACTCCTGGCGCCCTGCTGGTCCTTTGTGGCTGTGTGGGCATTACATCAGAGGGAGGTGGAAAACACCTGGTGTGTGGTGCTGTCATACCCTTTTGTTTATGGGAACAAGGTCAGCAGTGACTGCCCTGCCCTGTGGGAGCTTCCTGTTGGTTGTTGAGGAACTCTATCCCTGGGGAGAGGAGGCCTGAGCTGAAGCCTGCCTTTCTGGGCAGTGGAGAACAGGAAGCCAGAGGAAGTGCCTACATGAGATGGGAACTCCTTCTCTACTTGTAAACAGTGTAGAGTCCATCACGGTGGCCTGAGGTGTGACCTGCCAGCTTTAGTCTCTGCTGTCTGCCTAAGCTGGGGCCCAGGTGGAGGTCAGGGAGAATTGTAACATTTGAGTGGAATTGGATTGCTGTATATGTCTGAGTCTGTCCCGTGCAGACACTTGAGTTGTAAATTAGACCTGACTGTCCTTACAGTACCTCCAGGTCAGTTTTGTATTGGCCACAGAGAGTTTCAGACAGAAATCCCATGGGTTGGAAGACAAGGAAAAGGGCTTCCCAGTTGTTTGAGTCTACAGAGCCACTGTTGGGCACAGTTAAATATCAGCATTTTTTTTAAAGATACATTTATTTATTTTATGTATGTGAGTATACTGTCACTCTCCTCAGACACACCAGAAGAGGGCATTGGATCCTATTACAGATGGTTGTGAGCCACCATGTGGTTGCTGGGAATTGAACTCAGGACCTCTGGAAGAGCAGTCTGTGCTCTTAACTGCTGGGCTATCCCTCTAGCCCCATATCAGCATTTTTTGTTTGTTTGTTTGTTTTTTCGAGACAGGGTTTCTCTGTGTAGTCCTGGCTGTCCTAGAACTCACTCTGTAGACCAGGCTGGCCTCGAACTCAGAAATCTGCCTGCCTCTGCCTCCCAAGTGCTGGGATTACAGGTGTGCACCACCACCGCCCGGTTATATCAGCATTTTTTACACAATGGAATCTCATACAGCCCAGGCTGGCCTTGAGCTCCTGCTGCGCCAGCTTCTACCTCCCAAGTGCTGGGATTGCAGGTGAGCACCTCCATACGCAGCATCAACAGGAGTTTTATAAGCCGGGTGGTGGTGGTGCATGCCTTTAATCCAGCACTTGGGAGGCAGAGGCAGGCGGATTTCTGAGTTTGAGGCCAGCCTGGTCTACAGAGTGAGTTCAGGATAGCCAGGACTACACAGAGAAATCCTGTCTCAAAACAAACAAACAAAACCCCAGGAGTTTTATAGTGAGACAAGCCTGAGAGCTGGAGTCAGTGGAGTGTTGTCTGGCAGGATCTGTGTTCTTTGCTGAGCTCCTGGTGCCCACTTGACTGCATGGCTCTCCTAGACCCTCCCCAACCTTCACTCCAGTTCCTCCTCTGCCCTTCCCTTGCAGTCTCCCTGCTTCTCAGAGATGTAAGCTGGCTCCTGAGTAGCTGATGGCTCAAGCCCTCCTCCTTCCCCTCCTTCCAACACCCTATCCTCCATGGACATGCTTGGTGCTAAGAAGCCTGTTGGGTCACAGCATTCACTTCCACCCCAGCCGTGTGTGTGCTGTCCTTTTGCTGTCAGACACACAAAGAGACCAGGGGTTAGAAGATGTGGTTACGACCTCGAGTTGTAAGTTGGAACACACAGCAGACCTAAAACTGCAGAAAGTGTCTTGGCGACCTGTGCTTCATCTACCCCACCCTCTCGGCTCTTCTCTATCTCTTACTTTGAGGTCAGTTTCAGAGTATTTACAGTGTGGTGCCCACTGACCCAGGCCCCAGACCTGGAGTCAGTCCTGGAGGACTGGGCCCAGGAGTCTGCATGTGGCAGAAGCTCCCTATGTGGTCAAGTTGGTGGTCTGCAGTCTATACGTGGGACACTGACCAGAAAGCCACTCTTAGCTCCAGCCAGCCTTTAGACAAAAATCCCCTAGGCTGAAGACAGGAGGGAGTAGAGTGGAGCTTCCTCCAGAACCAGGTTGGATTTTTTTTAGTTTGTGTGTGTGTGTGTGTGTGTGTGTGTGTGTCTGTCTGTCTGTCTTTGTGTGTGTGTGTGTGTGTGTGTGTGTCTTTCTTTGTGTACTTGTGTGTGTGTATGTTTGCCTATCTCTCTTTGTGTGTATGTGTGTCGGTATGTGCATGTCTGTCTGTCTTTGTGTATGTGTGTCTTTCTTTGTGTGCTTGTGTGTATGTGTGTGTGTGATGGGTTTTACCTTCTCTCATGAAGGATTCATGAGACAGAGGTTTTGGAAGACTGTGACTCCACTGCAGATGTCCCGGTCTTTCCTGTTAAGTTCTTTCTGTCGCTTGAGGACTTCAAATCTCAACATTAAATTGCTTGCTGCATTACAGCCTCATACTCCCCGTAGAGTAAAAGTGGCTGTAAAATTCCATGTTTCACATGCCACCCCACCTCAGAGGCACATCTGCCAAACCTGTGCCCTCTCTGATAGTCAGCATGACAAATGTGTGCCCAGCAGCTCAGGTAGCATGACAAAATCCTGGCCTAGGGACACCTTGCATTCCCCAGCAAGCTCCTTGGGTTCTGATTTGGGGAGTGGATAGACAGCTTGCCTTTACCTGGATCCCCTTGCCTGCTTGTCCAGGCCAGCACCTAGTTCCTCTGGACCCACAGCCAGTGTGTCTGCAGCCTGTCCATGGTGCTTACACCTCCTGGACCCACAGCCAATGTGTCTGCAGCCTGTTCAGGTTGCTTACATCTTCTGGACCCACAGCCAATGTGTCTGCAGCCTGTCCAGGGTGCTTACACCTCCTGGACCCACAGTCAATGTGTCTGCAGCCTGTTCTGGGTGCTTACACCTCCTGGACCCACAGTCAATGTGTCTGCAGCCTGTCCAGGGTGCTTACATCTGTGTTTCTTAACAGTCTCAGAAGACAACAGTTGCTCATAGAGGTCATGACCAATCTTCAAGGCTACTTTTCTCCCAGGGATGCAGACCCAAAATTGGGCTCCAGTTTCCTTAACACCTGAAGTACTAGAGGCTCCTGAGTATGACCTGCTTACAAAGGCCTCATTTCTGTTTATGCCTCGTCAAGAGGAGGCTCTTCCTAAGAAGCATCTTAAAAAGCCTGTGGATACAAGCAAGGCTGAGGAGACCTGTTGTCTTAGGAACCGC